TTATTTCATCTTTAATATTAGAAGGTGACATCAAATACATTGTTACCTGGCTTAACATATACATTTGTACAGTACTTATGTTATCCTCAAAGAAGCCTTTTAAAATCTCTCCCCAAGTATCTTCCCAGATACTTAACATGCATGTTAAGTTGCTTTAGTGTCTCTGACTCTGTGCGACCCTATGGACTATAGCCTGTCAGGCTACTCTGTCCATGGGATTATCCAGGTAAGAATACTTAAGTGGGTTGCCATGTCCTCCCTCCAGGGAATCTTCCCAACCCAGGGATCAAACCCACCTCTCTGAGAACTCCTGCACTGGGGGACAGGTTCTTTACCACTAGTACCACCTGGGAAGCCCTAAGTATCTGTATGGCTCCTATATAAGCAACCCTTGGCACCCAGCCTATAGTATGAATTAAAATACTTGAGCTCTTCTTTTAATACAATACAGCAAGATGAGATTTTTTTCCCCAAGAAAATTTTATCTGTAATAACTTAATAATATGAACAACCTAATTATTACCCATCTCATAAATTTTCTCACTTAGTATTTGCTATTTACAGCATTTTAATTGTAGAAAGTTGCAATGAGCCAAATAATTGCTAAAGAATATTAAAAAGTTTTAGTCTTTTTGTTACTTGTTAATCAAAGTGTCCATTCAGGCCAAGGTAGTCCAAATGTAGGTAAAAAACAAATTTAGCCACCAAGCACTTCCTTCACTTAATTACAAAGACAAGGTGCAGATTTCTGGCTTATACACCACTAACTCCTAAATTTAGACTCACCTTTACGACCAATAGTGAAGTCAGAGACAATGCACTCTCCTTTTTCATTGGTAATTTTAGCAAGGTCATCCATGGATGGAATAGTATAGTAGCCAACCTTAGTGAGAATGATGCCTACGACAAAAGAAACCAAAAATAAAGTACTGGTTGTGACTGACATCAGTTAGAGGAATTTTCAGCAATATTCATTTCACTTTTTCATTGTAAAAATACTTTTGGAGTGGATAATTTAAAAAATTACCTGATAGAATCAGTAAATAAAACTCATGGAAATCAAGATGAAAAATCCTGCATGAGAAAGTCATGCAGACAACTGGAAACTTAAAGGTCTACATTAATGTTATTTTATTTTTTTCCCATACATTAATGTTATTTTAAAAAGTACTAACTAGGTAGATAGCAGAAGAAATCGAAGAAAATACAACATGAGTATGCTTGCTCTAACCACTCCTGTTCCATTAACAGGCAGAGATCAGGCTAACTTGCTTTCTGAGAAAGGCCCATACAAGAGTTTAAGGCCCATATAAGATTAAATTAGTCTCCAGCAATGCCCACTAAATATACTTAAGTTTTAGGGTGTTGTTCGAGTGTTCTTGAGACTGGGATTCTAAATCGGGAGGCAACAAAGAAGGTCAGTGAAAAAACTAGAAACAATTTAAAAAAATCGTGACTGAGTATTTAAGATGTAGTATCATAATGAACTCATGTAGGTGTCTAAATACAAACACAGATAACACAGGACTCTTAATGTTAAAGAATAAAGTTGTTTCCTTAGTGTACCATGTGACCAGAAGATATATACGAAGGCAATAAGATAATCAGACATAGAAGAAGTTTATAGACACATTAATATATACTGCAAAATAACCTCAAAAGTTCACTAAGAGCATGGAGAAACTAAATTTGTCATATTTATATAATGCAATGCTACATGGTAGTAAAAAAGAACCAAATGCTGATAATCACGGATAAAATCATGGATAAAATCTCATAAGAAAATGCACCTGCCAATGCAGGGGACACAGGTTTGATCCCTGATCTGGGAAGATCCACATGCTTCAGGGTAACTAAGCCTATGCACCACAGCTACTGTGTGCCACAACTACTGAAGCCAGCATGCCTTAGAGCCTGTGCGCTCCAACAAGAGAAGCACCACAATGAGAAGCCTGTGCAGCCACAACTAAAGAGTATCCCCAGGTGGGAGGGGGGACCGGGATGGGGAATACATGTAAATCCATGGTTAATTCATTTCAATGTATGACAAAAACCACTGCAATGTTGTAAAGTAATTAGCCTCCAACAAATAAAAATAAATGGAAGAAAAAAATAAAATAAAATAAAAAGTTAAAAAAAAAAAAAAAAAAAAAAAGAGTATCCCCAGCTTGCTGCAACTAGAGAAGGCCTGTGTGCAACAAGCAGACCTAGTGCAGCCAAAAATAAGTCAATAATTAAAATTGTTAAATGTTTTAAAAAATATATTAAAAAAAAAAAAAGAACAGGAAAGGGAATTCCCTGGCATTCCAGTGGTTAGGACTCTGTGCTGTCACTGCTGAGGGCAGGGTTAGATCCCTGCTTGGGGAACTAAGATCCTACAAGTCATGTGTCCTGACCAAAACATAAATTAAAACAAACAAACAAACTAGGAAGAACTAATCTATGTGACAGAAATCAGACTATGGTTGATTTCTGGAGATGGGAACACAAAGGAACTTTCCAGGGTTAAAGAAATATTCTCTCTTGAGTATATGTGTTTGTATATATGAGTATACATACATACATATATATGTGTGTGTGTATATATATATATGTCTAAATTTATTGAAATGAACACTTAAGACCTATATACTTCACTATATGTAAACTGTATCTCAGTTAAAAGGGGAAGGGGAAATGTAATGATATTGTCAAAACCCAAATGAGATAAGTCAGCAGAGAAAAAAAGGCAAACTTTAAGCATCCCATCAAGATACTTCAATCTTGCAGTTCATGCTATGTCACAGGTTAGTTGGCATAAACTAGTCAGTTCACTGTTGGGGACAAAAAAGAAAAACACAGAACTAAAGTGATAATAACCAAACAACCATTAACATTTGAATGCCTACTCTATTCTGGCATTATGGTCTGTATACTTTAATTCAAATCTCAAAAATCATATAAGTAATTACTGCTATAATTTTAATTAAAAAAATGAATAGGCAATCTATGTGAATTTATGAAGCTAAAAAAAGTTATAAGGATAGTCCCTCTCGCTACAAAACTTGGGGTATTTAAAATATAACAGGATAATTAACGAAATGAATTCTGACTACTCCAAAGGTACAAAATGATGTGAATTCCAAATCAACCATAGCATATGTTCAAATGTTAACTTTCATAAAAATGCAATAAAAAATATTTAGAAGTTCAGATAGCTAACTTCTATTATGATGAAAATATGTGATCAATAAAAGGTCTCAAATGACTGGTAAGAGATCTGAATCTGACCTGCCGGATGTATATGGTAAGTATTATTTTCGATTTCTTCTCGGTCATCCTGCAGTGACTCCTCATGAAAAGAGGTCTCTTCACTGCTTCCTTCCAGTCCATTTCGCAAGGCAGAACGCATGTTTAATGCAACGATGGTATCATCTACACTGTTGCTGCTGTTATGTTTATTTCCAGCACTTTCTGGGGTTTGAGGAATGGGTTTGGCAATAGGGTTAGTATAAAAACGTGACACAAGAGAATCATCTTCTCCATCCTGCTGATGATTCTCATCCACTGGTTTGCTCAGAAAACTGAATCTGAAAAGGGAGAAAGTAAACAAATACTATTTTAGCCCCTTGTAGTAAAACAGCAACAATCAATCATTACTAGGCCTTCATTAAGTATCTGACACTGTTCTATTTAACTCCATGTATTAAAAATTCACTTAATACTTACAGTAATCCTATAAAATAGGCTGCTATCATTCTCTGTATTTTACAGAAAACTCAGACACAGAAAAATAACTTGTCAAGGTCACAAAACTATAAGCGCTAGAGTTAGCACTGTAACTCACGAAGACTAAATGTAGATTCCATGACTTTAACTGATCTATTATAATGAATGAATGAATCTGAGTGTCACAATTTTTAGCTTAACGAGGAGAGGGAGTATCTACTATATGGGGGTTAAATAATCAGTAGTGAATTTCATAATACAAAACTGAAAAAATTTTAATTTTTAATATTATAATCAATAGAGTATTAAAAAATGCTTCATTATTGAAAAATCAAACTAAAATTTATCCAAAGACGAAAAAACAGGAGTGCAAAGACATATATACAAAGATTTTTCACTGAAGCACTATTTTGAATACTGGAACACCAAAATAACCTAAATATCCATTAAAAGAGAACTAACTGAATTATCTTACATTCATAATAATGGTTACAGAGTCACTTAAAAAGAGGCAGGTTAGCCGTATCATGTTGATAGCCATGTTGATAGTAAATGGTTACAGAATATCATTTCATGCATAATCACTAAAATATTTTAAGAATATACTCAAATAAATTTCAAAACCATTAGAAAATATGCTGAACTACTAAGGATTACTGTATATACTTGTACTTTCTTCTTTAAATATTTCTATACTGCTTTGAGGGGAGAGTTGGTTACAGTTGTTGTATATCACTTTAATAACTATCACAAACAAAATTCATTTTAAGAGGGGTAAGGGGAGTCACATGCATGTTAACCCTGTCCAAAATGACATACATGGATACCAAAAAGGTTTTGCAGAACTGAATCAGGAAAAAAATAATTTTAGTGTCTATAGTACTCAAGAGGTAAATACATGACATAACTTCTAGGTGCTCATATGCCGTTGTATTTCCAACTTCGTAAAATTTCTTGAATGAATAAATACTAAGCTCAGAATCTCTTCTAAATGAAAACAAGGCTCTTGACCAGAAATAACCTAAAAGAGCATTCAGTTTACCTCTCTCCATTTTCTGGATAATCAGATGGTGAAGCTAGATCTTCTGACTCACGATTAACAGGAGAGAATAGACTGCTATTGTTAAGGTTTTTCAAAACCAACTTCTTAATGCTCTTCCTATAAACAGAGATCAAAAGAAAAAAAAAGAACTCAGGCACACAAAATTACACTAAAGACTATCTTAAAACCTCAAGTAGGAAAGGGAACTCTTATTCAACTCATGTGCATCTAAAAGTGACCTAATGCAGAGTAGACATCATGAGCAAAGCACACCCTCCCAAGTTGAAGAAATTTATGGAAATGAAGTTATCACTGAAATTAAATGGTGGCAGACATGTCCAAGGAATATTGCGGGGATTTGATCCCTTTATGAATCTTGTGATAGATGAATGTGTGGAGATGGCAACTAGTGGGCAACAGAACAATATTGGAATGGTGGTAATACGAGGAAATAGTATCATGATGTTAGAAGCCTTGGAACGAGTATGAACAACAGCTGTGTTCACCAGAGAAATCAACTGCTTCCATGTGTCTCCTTCTCCACATTTTACTATCAGAAAAATTGGGTTGTGTACATTTTCTTATTGAACTTTTTTGTTAAATAAACTTTTGTAATAGCCAAAAAAAAAAAAAAGTGACCTAACAAGTTCAGTTCACCAACTCAGCTCATATATAAATAACCAGAACATAAGGTCTCAAATATATGACACCCTGGTGTTTAGAAGAATAAGCTAATTAAGCACATCAAAACCAAGTAAGAAATACGCTTGAAAATACTCTTCCTTTGCTAACTCCATAAGAATCTGTCTAGACACTAGTTTACTCCCCACACTGTGTCATGCATTTCAATTATTTTTCTACATGCCTTTTTCCTCTTTAAAAAACACTTTTTAATTTTTTTGGCAGTCAGTATTTATGACTGCTCCTGCATAGAACCTGGCATGTTATTCTGAAGGAACACTGTTGTTTGACTCTTTTGTGATCTCATGGACTGCAGCCCACCAGGCTCCTCTGTCCATGGGATTTCCCAGGCAAGAATACAGGAGTGGGTTGCCATTTCCTTCTCCAGGGGATCTTCCCGATCCAGGGATCAAACCCATGTTTCCTGTGTTGGCAGGTGGATGCTTTCCCACTGAACCACCAGGGAAGCCACTGAAGGAAGACAGATGTTTAAATGAGAAAGGTTTCTTTTAAAAAAGACAAGAAAGAAGGGTAAAAAGTTCTGCTATCCAATGATGTAAATGACCACGAATATCTAAAACGTTCAAGTTTGTGTATAACAGGTTTTACTTAAAGCAAGAACCTCTATAATATACCAGCTTACTAAGTAGAAAAAATGCATAAAATCTTAATCAACCTCCACTTAAAAAGTCACTGGATTAACTAATACACTCCATTCCCTCTTTTTAAAGAAAAAAACCCTCAGATGTATAGAACAGACTTGTGGACTCTGTGGGAGAAGGCGAGGGTGGGATGTTTCAAGAGAACAGCATCGAAACATGTATATCTAGGGTGAAACAGATCACCAGCCCAGGTTGGATGCATGAGACAAGTGCTCAGGCCTGGTGCACTGGGAAGATCCAGAGGGATGGGGTGGAGAGGGAGGTGGGAGGGGGGACCAGGATGGGGAATACATGTAAATCCATGGCTAATTCATTTCAATGTATGACAAAAACCACTGCAATGCTGTAAAGTAATTAGCCTCCAACTAATAAAAATAAATGGAAAAAAGAAAGAAAGAAAGAAAAAAACCAACCATTGGGAATTCCCTGGAGGTCCAGTGATTAGACTCTGTGCTTCCAGTGCATGGATTCAATCTCTGGTTGAGGAACTAGCTCCAGCATGCTGTGTGGTGTGGCCAAAAAAAAAAAAAAAAAAAAAAAAAAACCACCACACACACTGTGGTGTTTGTTCCTTACTTACGTATGCTAGGTATACGCCTCATTGTAATGGTGCTATTAAATAAATATTAAGTAAACCAATGAAAGAGGCAATTGACAACAAAAAATTATTACTTTCATGAAAAATAAAACTTGCCCTTCTATTGATGGCAGACTAGGTAATGAGAACTAATTCTCCTAGGGAGGATTACCAGAAAACTCAGAACTCTTTCCAGGCATGAAGAGCCAACAAGATGGTAAAAAATGACAGTACCAGTAATTTGAGGGGACAGAGGCACAGGGAGGTGTCCCGTACTTGTGGTTGCTTTTCTCCTGGAGACTTTTCTGATTCCAAGGGCAAGCTAAGAGGCTGATGGTGAACCTGACAGTCTTGTTGGACTAGAAAGGCAGAGACCAGAATCTAGAGCCAAGGGAGTGAGGAACTAGTGGATGCCACTGATTTTGTGTTGGGACCTGGAAAGTCTCTACCCCTGCAGTTAAGAGAGAACTAAAAATAAAAAGCACAAGGTGTGAAGCTCAGCTTTGACTCATCTCAGTAAGCACCTGTCATTAAAAAAACTCTTAAGAGCAATATCAACATCCTTGAACTCATTACTGTCAGTTTTCTTCAAAGAAGATAAATGGCCAATAAGCACATAAGACATGCAACATCATAAAGGGGATGCAAATTACAAGGATGAGGTACCACTTCACCCCCACTAGGATGACTGTTATAAGCTGACAAACCAGAAAACAAGTGCTGACAAAGGTATGGAGAAAATGAAAACAATGTGCATTGCTGGAGGTAATGTAAAATGGTGCAGCTGCTGTGGAAAACAATTTGGCAGTTCATTAAAGGGTTAAGTAGAGGGGCTTCCCTGGTGGTCCAGTGGTTAAGAATCTGCTTTGCAATACAAGGGACAGGAGTTCACTGGTCAGGGAAGATGCCACATGCCACAGAGCAATTAAGCCTGTGCACCACAACTACTAAAGCCCCAAAACACTAGAGCCTATGGTCTGCAACAAGAGAAGCCATTGCATTAAGAAGCCTGAGTACCACAACTAGAGGGTAGCCCCCAATCTCCCCAACTAGAGGAACCCTGCTCACAGCAACAAAGACTCAGTGCAGCCAATAAATAAATAAATTCTATTAAAAAAAAGGGGGAGGTTAAGTACAGAATTAATGTATGACCAAACAATTTCAGTCCTAGGTATATACCCAAAAGAACTGAAACCAGGGACTCTACTTGTACATCAACATTCATAGTAGCACTATTCACACAGCTAAAAGGTAGAAACAACCCAAATGTCCATCAATAGATGGAACGGATAAACAAAATGTGGGATAACCATATGGCAGAATATTATTCAGCCTTAAAGAAGAGTGAAGTTCTGATACATGCTACAACTTAAAAGTGAAAAAAGTAAAGAACCTTTAAAACATTATGCCAAGGAAAATAAGCCAAACATGAAAGAATAAATTCTGCATGATTCCCTGCATATGTGCTATCTAAAATAGGCATAATTCTTACAGACAGAAAGTAATATAGAAGTTAAAAGGGACTGGAGGAAGAAGAAAATAGAGAATTATTGCATGGCAGTAAGTTCTGGAAATACTAGTGGTAGTTATACAATATTATAAATATACTTAACATTACTGAATTGTACTTGACAGAACACATATTTTACCATTTAAACAATTTTCATGTATATCTTACCACAATAAAAATTAGTAAGTAAAATAAGAGATCACAAAAATCTCCATGTTAAGAATTTATACTCTTGAATAATCCCAAGACTCAAAAAACTCTATGAAAATCAGAAAGCATTTATCATATAATTACTATTTGAATGTTAAGAGTACTCCATATCAAAACTTGTAGAGTATAAATAGAGTTGAACTATTAATAAAAGGGAAACTTACATCTCTAAAGCATGTATTTGGAAAGGAGCAAAGTTAAAAATAAAAAGTGAGCATTGATTTAAACAAAGGACAGAAAATAAATACCATAAAAAGGGGGGGGGATTAAAAATCAGATTAAACTTTAGTGAAAATATGATAAATTAAAATGAATGAAAAAGAACACAGACTAGAGAGCATCAGTAATGCCAGAAGTTTAGTTCTTTGAAATGTTAAATGAAACTGGCAGATCCCTGACCACACTGCTACAATGAGAAAGCACAAACCACCACGATGTCAGGAATGGACAGAGACATTCCTACAGATTCCACTAAAATAAAAAAAGACAGTCATGATATTTTTAAACAACTTTATGCCAATAAGTTTGGAATTTTAATGAGGTGAAGTGAATATTAAAAGAATATAACTCGTCAAAAGTGACACAAGAAATGAAAAAGCTTAAGTTCTATAACTTTAAAGTCAACAATTAAAATGAAACACATTACTGCAAACAGTATCTTCACCAGTATCCAACATTTAATTGGGGAGAGGAGAAGCCTATCTTACACCAAGCCTCCCAGAAAAGAGGAAATGATCCAATTTGTTTGTGAGGTCAGCATAACTTTTATACCAAAACTGGGTAAGAAAATTTAAAGAAAGGAGCACCCAAGCCAATCTAAATCAGAAACACAGAAGGAAAAAAAAAAAAAAAATCCTGGACAAAATTTTACACAGTGAATCCTACAAGCAAGTTACTAAACACTATCAGGAACTCTGGAAAGGAATTAGGAGCCGACATGAAAGGGTTCCTGTTAGCCAAAGAAAAAACAACCTGATCAGCACAGAAAATAACAGCTGCAATGGACAGAAACGCAACCAACAGGGGTGAGGGAGGTGGGGAGAGTGAAGAAGATGGTTTAATTAAATGCTTCACATGAAGAACACATGACTAGAAGGCAGGAACTTAAATACAGAACATAAAAAGTGTCAGGCAAATGTGAAGAGGATGGGGGGCTAATTTAGTAAATACAAAATAGAATACCATTTGGTCAGGTCATGTTTCAAATAAACGTTGACAAGAAAGCTGGAAAATAAAATTCTGTTTGAAAAAAATATGTGTATTTAAAACCAGAAACATATCAAAATACTTCCCCTGACAGTTCTCCCAATCTGTCTTCAGTTTAAACAACACATCCTCAGACAAGCTTTCCTTCATTATTCTCTACTGGTCTCTCCTACAGTGGCAATCTCTACTTCTTTCTGTAACCTGTCTCACTTGTGATTACTCTGTCTCAGCATCTCTCTTCCCCCCCAGACTGTGACAGAGGAATGTGTCTGGTTCACAGCTATATCCCCAGAGCCCATCACACTTGCCCTTAGTAGTTTGTGATACATGTCTGCTGAATGAAGCAATGAACAGAGGTATTAAAGAATATCTCTAATTCTGTCCATTCAAGAATAAAGAAAATTAATGGCGTGTTCTATAGAAAATTTGCTCTGACTTTGATGTAAAGACACGGCACCAGTAAGATTCTCACACTTGTCAAGCTATAAAATTCACCTTGCAGAGCAAACCGAGTACAGTTCTAGTGCTGGCCATCAGAATTCTCTGCCATCTACATTTTTCACAGAACTAGAACAAAAAATTTCACAATTCATACAGAAACACAAAAGACCCCAAATAGCCAAAGCAGTCTTAAGAAAGAAGACTGGAGCTGGAGGAATCAACCTTCCTGACTACAGATTATACTACAAAGCTACAGTCATCAAGACAGTATGGTACTGGCACAAAAACAGAAACACAGACCAATGGAACAAGACAGAAAGCCCAGAAATGA